TGTCCATCTGGTAAAGGTGCTGGATACATAAGCCTGAGGACCTGGTTTTGAACTCCAGAACCCCATACAAAGGGAAAGCAAAGAACCAATTCCACAAAGTTGTCCAAGGCTTCTTTAGAAAAACAACAAATAGTAGATAACCCTGGTGCATTTGGAGATTCACCATGGCCAGGGGCCCCAGGTTTAGGCTGAGGTGGGAGGCATCCTTAAAGGCATCCATGTCACCAAGCTGGGCCGCCTGTCAAGGACATAAAGGATCAAGTCCCCAGAAGAGATCCACCTGCTCTCCTTGCCATCAAGAAGCCTGAAATTACTGACTTTTTTTTTCTGGGTTGCATACCTTAAGGTTGAAATTTTGAGAAATCATCTCAGTATAGAAGCAGACCTGGCTAGTGGACCAGGTTCAAGGTTTTTGTCACTAGTGGAAACTAAAATAGTCACATTTGTTTGGGTATTAAGTGCTCCAAGGAGGTAGCCACTGACCATCCTAGGGCCCATCATCTTGTTAAACTTTCCATTGTTTTAATATGGAAAGGCTATTAGGGGAACACCATTGGGAAGCCCCATGCTGTCCCATGCAAGGTGACAGATCACTGCCCAGGCTACCCTGTCATCCTGGGCAACTTCACCAAGGCCACCTTTGATGCCAACTCCAAGACCTACAGTTATCTGACTCCTGACCTGTGTAAAGAAACTGATTACTAAGTTTCCCCATTGGAAACTCACCAACCATGATATGAAAACCCACAGAAGAGCCCCTGTGAAGAGGACCTAGTCCCCAGCTGCAACTGTCACATAGGGTCTTTATATATGAAAAATAAAGTGAGGGGCTGAAGAGATGGATGAACAGTTAAGGGCACATATTCTCTTGCAGAAGACCCAAGTTCTTCTAACACCTACAACATGTGGCTTACTACTGTGTTGCTCCAGTTCCAGGGTATCTGATGCCTCCTCTGACCTACATGAGCACCTATACTCATGTGCACATGCTCCATTGCCACCCCCACAAAATACACACACACACACAGGAGCAGAGGAATCCCTAAACAAGTAGTCTTGATTGAATGTGTATGTTAACATGGGCATTGCTATACCAAAGATCCTGATGCCTATGTGTGTGGCCAAGCCTCCTCTTCTCCAGGTTCAGAGTGATGGCAAAGGCTTCCTGGGTATCCAAGTGAGAAAGATTGATCAGGGTATACAAAAACGAGCAACTACAGCTTCTTCCTGCTAGATGTTTACAGCCTGAGACTGCTTACTGATAACCTTCATAGACTAGCTAACTCCTGCCTCTGTGCTGAGTTGTTAGTTACTGGTGGGATTCATCAGAATTCACTCAACCATCTGACTGCAGCTTTTCTGCTCATGGTCTGTGCATCTGTCCTTTCTTCATTCCCTCACTGCCTCTGATGAGGGTTCCAAGACAGAGTCACCTGAGATATGGCAAAAAAGAAAAGGAACGTGAATCAAACCTATTTTTTTGTTTTTTGTTTTTCGAGACAGGGTTTCTCTGTGGTTTTAGAGGCTTTCCTGCAACTAGCTCTTGTAAACCAGGTTGGTCTCTCGAACTCACAGAGATCCGCCTGTCTCTGCCTCCCGAGTGCTGGGATTAAAGGCTTGCACCACCACCACCCAGCCCCCAAACCTATTCTTTTATTTGTGTGTGTTTTGCCTATGTATATTGTCTATGCGCTATTTGCATGTCTGGTCATCAAGGAGGTCAAACGAGGAAGTCCAGGAAGTAAGAAAAAGACATCCAGCAGAAATGGAGATACAAGACCATGTGAGTGCTGGGAATCAAACCCAGATTCCCAGCAAGTACTCAAGTGCTGAGCCATCTCTCCAGCCTCCTGCTTTGCTTCTGTCTTTGTTTTGAAGCAAGGTCTTCCCTATGTAATTCTGGCTGGTCCAGAACTCACTATGTAGTCCAGGCTACCTCAAACTTTCAAAGATCCTGTTTCCCTAGTGTTGAAATTACAGACATGTATGATCTTGACTGGCAAGTCTTCTTTGCCCTTTTTTCTTGGTCTCTCTCTACCTAGCTAGCATCCATGTCACTGCACACATGTGGGTCAATATACTACTTTTCGGTCTTAGTTTTCTTCCTTCTACCTCTGCTCAGGCTTCAGGATAGAATTCAAGTTCCTAGGATTGTGCCCCAAGCAATTCTTCTACAGGGACCTTTTACCAACCCGACTTCCTGATTTTAGAGAAGGCCTTAAGAGAACATGCAGGAGAGCATCCAAGAAGACAGAATCAGGATGTTTTTTCCCCCCAGTCTGGAATCTAAGACTGCTTCAAAAGTGTAAATGTCCTGGAACCTTTTCTTCCAGATTCAACTGTGGGATCACCTTTGAGAAGGGACACTTCTAAACTTAACCTTCCATAGGCAGCATGCACTTAGTATCTTCTGGGTAATTAAAAAAAAGTAGCAGCCATCATGGTGGTTCATACATGTAATATTGCACTTGAGAGGCTGAGGCAGGAGGACCCCCTTGAGTTCAAGGCCATACTAAGATAGGATCACAGTGAGATACCGTAATTAATAATGGTTAAGAAGACTTTAGTCCAGACTGAAGGGGAGAGAATCTATTCCATCCGTGACTACCATAAAGACAAGTGAGGACTGACACCCAACAGGCTGAGTGGGGAAGTGACAGCAGGAGCTCATAGTCTCAGGACTTGAGGGGATCTGGACTACAAGGCCAACCTTGCCTACGTGTCTATTACAAGGCTAGCCTAAAAGAGGTCCTGTCTCAAAAGCACAACAAAGGAGCTAAAGAGTTGTGGCAGGAACTGCATGGAGAGCGTTGACCAAGTTCCAGCATTTCAACTTTTTAGAGCACAATTCTCCAGCATTTTTCTACTTTCTGAAAAGTTTCTGCACCCCATAAGCCTCTCTGCCAATGCAGCAACCCAAATCATACCAAATCAAATTAGAAAAAGCCCACATTTAATGGATACAATGCTCCTAGATGGTCTTCCAGGCCCCCAGAGAGGAGACAGAGACCAGAAAGCCAGTGTATTTGGGGGGGGGCAGTTTAAATACCTTGTGGGAGCGGTCTTGAGTATCTCTGGGGGAGGGCTCATCATTTGTCAGGCTTTCTGAGATGTAGCAGAGTTTGGAGAGAGATAGGGGAGGGAGCTTGGGTGGAACTCCCACCAGAACATCCCAGACTCTTTGGGTGTATGGTTGCCAGGGACTGGGGTGAAGCTTCTACCCTAAAACTTTCGTTTTTTAAGGATTCTCATTATGTGTTGTGGGACTTTTGTTTTGTTTTGTTCTTGTTTTCTGAGACAGGGTTTCTTTGTGGCTTTGGAGGTTGTCCTGGAACTAACTCTTGTAGACCAGGCTGGTCTTGGAACTCACAGAGATCTGCCTGCCTCAGCCTCCAGAGTGCTGGGATTAAAGGCATGTGCCACCACCACCCGGCATGGGAGTTTCTTTATGCCTTTTTCTTTGAGAAAATTTATTTGGGCTTTGAAGAATGAGAATGTATAAAATGACAGCCTCTCTAAACAAAATAATTCTTTGGAAAAAAAAAAAATCCCTGACACTGTAGAACCATATAGTGTGTTAAATTCTGAATACTCCCATACAAGTTAACACCAAGCTGATAGAAAATTTAGAAGAGTCATATATGCTTGATAAGTAAGGTCTATTTAGTAATAAAGATTCATAAGTTCCTAAGGTCTACTCATGTTCACAGAAATATTTGTTTAGCTTCATCTTTACTCACTTTAAGCTTTAGCTATTTGGATAAACTAAGCCATATTTACAAAACTGCAATATTCTATAATGGATTATCTGATCCACCAAGAGAAAGTCCTATTCCCAAGGTCAGACAGTTAGACAAACACCCCCATTCCCTCAAGGGCTTGAAGAAAGTGCCTTCATGCTAAAAAGGGAGTCATTCTTACTTCTGGTAAGAGGAACTTGTGACCCTGCCATTAACATATGACCCAGCCTACTGTCAAGGTCAGTCAGTGCTAGTTTCTTCAATCCCTGATCTCAAGCCACAACCCATTTCTCCTTTCCCGGCAGCACACCCCCACCCCTGTTTAATCCTATGTGTAGCTATAGATTATAAAAGGTGCATTCCTTTTTTTCTATAAACTCTGGGGCAGCCATCCTGATTCACCCTCAGATCCGTGCCAGCCTCTGCCTTTCTTCTTGCCATCGCCATCTGCACACATCCTCCTTGGGACCTGAACCACTGGACACCCCCCCACACCCCCAGCCACCCACCCCCCCACACCCCCAGCCAACCCCCCACCAGCCACCCCCCCCCCAGCCTCATTCAAGCACTTGTTGCTAAGGAAGAGGCCTTGGGTTGTATTCCCAGCACCCACACGGTGACTCACAACCATCCATAACTCCAGTTCCAGAGGATCCAATATCCTTTTCTTACCCCTCTGGGCAACAGGCACACAAGTGATGGACACAAATATGCAGGCAAAGCACCCATACACACAAAATAGATAAAGACCAACAAACAAAAACTTACTTTTTGAGTCAAGTCCCAGGAGACTCAGAAAAGTTTATAGGTTTCCTCTAAGGTCAGGTGTGAGATATGATTTTTTTTTTTTTTTTTTGAGAGAAAGTCTCAGATAGTCCAGGCTGACCTCAAACTTGCTTTGCGACAGATTTGGCCTTTAACAGCTGACTTCCTAAATGCCGAGATTACAGGAATCTACTACCAAGCCTGATTTTTGTGTGTGTGAAGCAGGATGAAATGTCAGAGTCTAATCTGTCTCTATAGGAATATATATTTTTGAATGAAGTTTTTATGTAGAGGTAGGAAAAGTCAGATAAACTCTCCAATGTCCTTTCAAAGACACGAGCTTTGAGGGAAAAAACATGTTTGCTGTAGGGTAGGTAAAAGAGCAAACCCAGAGGGTCACCCCAGGAACTACGGGGGCGGGGCTTGTGAGTGTTGTGACGCCGTGGGCGGGGCCTGGCCGTCCCTTCTGCTTTTAGCCCCGCCCGCGGCCCTTTGGGTTCCCTGTTGCTGTTGCGCCGCTGCTGCTGCTGGCTGCTGTCCCAGGTGAGTCCCTGAAGTGAAAGCGGGCCATTGGGCCTTGGCTCCCCCAAATTCGGACTTGGGCGCCTTGAGACATGGTCTCGGACAAGCCACGGTGTGACAGGCTTCAGCGTCACCTCAGTCAGTCTTGGGGGGCGTGGGTCGGCGAGGGTGGCTCCGGGAGGGCCTGGAGCGCCTACCGCGCGCGGCCTGGGAGGCCCGGGCCGAGTCTCCCCGGGAAGGGAAGGGCTGCGCGGTTACGGGGCTGGTGACCCGCGGGACGGACAGTCCTCTTCGTCCCTGACAAGAGTTAGGCTCGCGGTGGCACCCGGTCCCGCCGCCCCTGCTCGCCGGGGTTCTGAACACCAAGCTTCTGCTCTGTCACCGCTATGGGCTTTCAGCGTCCCGTTGAGTCACGGGACCAAGTTACTTTCTCTTTAGGTCCTTGTTTCCCTCTGTACCAGCAAGTGGAATCCCTGCAGCCTCTTTCTTTCCCTTTGTATCCGTAACTGTAGGTTGTTGTAGACAGCCCAGATGAAAAAGATGTCAGTGTCCTGCTTCATTACGGTTGACCTCCCATTGCTTTTTTTCCCCCCATTGGGAGTGTGTGTGTGTGTGTGTGTGTGTGTGTGAGAGAGAGAGAGAGAGAGAGAACCTGATGTTTCCATTCACATTTCAACACCAATCGATGTGTTAAACATTTTTCTGTCACTTGAATTCTTTGCCCTAGATGCAAATCAACAAGTGGCCATGGATGGAATTTAGGATAATTTGAATGTTGCATCATAACTTGCCTATGAAAATTATTATTTTGCAAAGGACTTAATTCACTAGGTCTTTGTGGCTTATGGGCCACACACAATTAGCGCCTAGATCGCTTATTCTTCTCAAGTATTGTCAGGAGTTCTGAAACTCTACCGGGGATCCCTACCCTACACTAGCAAGTTACGCTTTTTTTTTTTTTTTTCTTGATTTTTTTTGAGACCGGCTTCCCTGTGTAGCTTTGGAGCTCTGTAGACCAGGCTGACTTCGAACTAAAGAAATCCACCTGTCTCTGCTTCCTGAGTGCTGGGATTAAAGGTCAGTGCCATCACCACCACCGCCCTGCCAAGTTACACATTCTTGTACAAACATAATACAACATACAGTGCAAAAGTATTGAAAATTTGTGGCCAGTCTGGGCTATGGAGAGAGACTTGCCTCAAACAAGAAGGAAACCAAAAATGAAACAAAGCAAAACAAAACTGGCTGCACTTACTGACTGGGATGTCATGCTTACTTAATTTTCTCAAAGAAAGACATAGAAGATGAACTCTTAAGATTTTGTGCACAGGATCATCAGGATAGATTCATATGTTGTTGTTCAGAAGCCTAAAAAGGGTTTATATGGCTTAACCTGACCTCAAGATAGTAGAACTAAGATGAGATCCCAGATCTTGTGGCCCCTGGCCAAGCTCCTCTGCTACTTGGCTTCAAACACTGCCACTGTGATCCGGCACAACAGAGCCTGCCTTTCAAAAAAGGGATTTTTGAGGTGGCCCAGCAGTTAAAAGCACTTGCTGTTTTTGCAGAGAATCTGGGTTCAGTTCCTACCGTCCTTCTCGGGCTGCTCACAACAGCCTGGGACTTTAGTTCTGCACTCATGTGGCGCACAAATTCAGCCACACATACATAAGTACATAAAATGGTTTTATTTTTGGTTTGGTTTGGTCTGGTCTGCTTTTTTCGAGACAGGGTTTCTCTGTATTGCTTTGGATCCTGTCCTGGAACTAGCTCTATAGACCAGGCTGGTCTCTCACAAAGATCAGCCTGCCTCTGCCTCCCTAGTGCTGGGATTAAAGGCATGGGCCACCACTGCCGGGCTAAATAAAATATTTTAAAGATTTTTTTAAAATTGTGTATGTATGGGTATTTTGCTGTATATCATGTCTGTGCATTGCCTGCGGTTGTCAGAAGAGGCTTTAGGTCCCCTACAGTTACAGGTGCTTGTGAGCTGCCATGTCAGTGCTAGGAGTTGAACCTAGATCTTTTGCAAGAGCAACAGGTATTTTGAAACAAAAAGTGGGTAGACAGAACTTTTGTAATTTCTAACAGTTGTGTGTGCCTCACATCTAGGAATTATTTTCCTTTGCTTCTCCTGGCACTGTTGTGGTGTGATATGTAGCATGAGAGTTTGCTTAGATCAAACATGACGTGACAGCCATTTTTAACGGTCTGTCTGAAAGGCCTCCAGTGGTATAGTTTTGTCTTATGTACCCGAAAACATTTTAGTCATGGCATGAGAATGAAGCTTGAACAGGAGTAAGTGGCTAAATAACCTGAGGAGGAGTGATTGTGTTCTTGGCTGTGCTCCCTTTCCCCAGGCTACCTGTGCACTCGTGCTGTCTATTGCTAGAGTTTAGTTCACTGAGCCAGGGTCAGGAGGGCTGCCGTTCACATACGCCCATCCATTTGGCTGATTGCTAGCTTCACGTGCAAGTAAAAGAAGTAGGATGAAAGGATTAAATGGGGGTTTGACTTCTTTAAGTTTTGTTTGTACGTTTGATTTTTACTCATCTTTTGATTTTACTATTCTCATTATTTGCAGGGCTGGAAAGATGGCTCAGAGGTTAAGAGCACTGGCTGCTCTTCCAAAGGACCCAAGTTCAATTCCCAGCACCCACATGGCAGCTTACAGCTAATATAACTAGCTGCCAGATGGTTATTGGGAACCCAACCCCAGTCCTCTGGAAGAGTAGCCAGTGCTGAGAAAGCCATTTTTATAGTCCCAAAGGTTTATTTATATTGTTAAGTGTATGTGTGTGCACGCGCGTTTTTGTGTGTGTGCATAGGTGTCCTTGGAGGCCATAAGATCCCCTGGAACTGGAGTTAGAGACAACTGAACCATTTGATTTGGATACTAGGAATTGAACTCTGGCCCCAGGCCAAAGTGCACACGTGTGCACATACATGCAAGCAAAAACGCCCACACATAAAATAAAGATAATTTTTTCCCTGCCAACCTTAGGCTTTGGGAAACGAATAAAAAATTAGAGTGTGAACCTAATATATCCCCTTGCTTTTTCATAATTTCGCAGCTCTCTGGGCTTCTGATTTAGCTTTGCTCTTATTTATTCTTCCCTTCTCTCACCTCTGAATTAATGCCAGCATTAGTGTGGGGGATAGATTAGTTCTAAGTGGAATGGCTAAGGGAAACTGGTGCTAACTCATTCTAGTTTTCCTTTTGTAGCCTCTCCCCTCCATTTCCAGATGGCATTGTTAGAAAGGTAATTTCTGAAGCCTATCTCCCAGGGAAATTTACCCCTCAGAGGAAGGAAAAGCTTTTAAGATGTCTGTTTATGCCTGGTGGTGGCAGCACACACCTTTTATCCCAGCACTGAGGACGGAGAGACAAGGACATTTGGGGCTGCCCTGTCTTGAAAAACAAAACAAAAACCCTAAAGTTTATTTACTTGTGAGTGTGTGTCTGTGTCTGGGTACAAGTGCTGTTATACAGGAGTCAGTTATATTCCAGGGTATGGACTCCAGGGATTGAGCTCAGGTTTGTCAGGTTTGGTGGCAAGTACCTCCATCCACTCAGCCATCTTGGCAGCCCAGAAGGAAAGGCTTTAAGGATCATTAATGGTTTGGTTTGGTTCAGACAGGGTCTCACTGTGTAGCCCAGGTTTTCCTGAAACTCATGATCTTCCTGCTTCAGAGCTCCTGACTCCTGTGCAGGTCTTCATGCTCAGGTTAGAATCACTGATCTTAAAAATCAGTCATTCCCCTTCAGAAAAAGGTGAGTGTGGTGGTGCTTCCGAGCTGCTTAGGGTTGGTATGCATGCCTTAGGTTTCCCACTACTCTTGATTGGTGAAGAGGAAGAAAGGGAACCCCTGCTGCTCTCCAGCCTACCTCCTTTTTAATCCCTTCCCCAGATATTTTAACTGTATTCTAAGAAGGATTGAATTTTGTAGTCCACAGACAAGCTGAGTGAATCCAGAAGCTTCTTGTTTATCAAACAAGAGGCCAAGCCGTTCCTTTTTCTAGACATAACCTTTTCACGTGAGGAAGGAGATGGGATTTCTTTTGTGTGTACAGGCCTCAGCATGGCTCTCTAATGTCATAGAGTATTGTCATTTGTAAATCAGCTTGCCAGAATTTGTGTGTGTGTGAAAAAATGGGTGATGGGTTCTTTTTTAATTTTTCAAGGCAGGGTTTCCCTGTGTAGGCTTGGCTGTTCTGGAGCTCTGTAGGCCAGGCTGGCCTTGAACTCAGGTCCACCTCTACCTCCATAGTGTGGGATTAAAGATGTGTACCACCATCCACTGGGATGTCAATAAATCAAATTCTTTTTTTTGTTGTTGTTGTTGTTGTTACCATGTTGTTATCCAGTTGAACTGGTCATACCAAGAATTGGCATTATTTTTGGATGTTTTTATCTACTCAGTTTTTTTTAAAAGGTAGAATCTCATATGGCCCAGTGGGCCTTGCAATATACATATAATATTATATGCACACATGTATGTATGTATATATGTGAGATAACATTAAACCAACTAGAAAAGAACTCTAATCCTGCCATCTCCATCCTCATCATTAATATTTTTTGGGTGGTAGAGATCTAGCCCAGGTTCTTATGCTAACTAGGCAAACACGCTACCTGTTGAGTTACATCTGCAACCTATCCTTGCCATTATTTAGCTGTAAAGTCCCTTCCCCTTTTACTTTTTGATGAATGGCATGTATATATTGCTCATTCATTTATTGAAAGAATACCTAATTGGCAGTTACTTTAACATTGTATTGTGTATGAAGTGAGCATGGTGTGTCACAAGGAGAACTAAAGATGAGGGTACTTAAGTTAATTGAAGGAAATCATGGACTGGAATATGACCCTTTCCACTTCACTTGGAAAAACTATCCTGAGGCATGAGTTTCAGGATGTGGCTAGATGGTCCCAAACCAGGAAAATCAGTGAGTTCTTGGCTCTAGCTAAATTTCCCAATTTAGTGCTCCAGAGTCCACTTGCCTTCTGGGGTGGGGGAGGAATGTGGAGGCGGGAGAGAGGGGCATCGACTTCTGGGAAGTTTGAGACCAGCATTTGTGATTCATGCCTTTAATCCTAGCTCTCAGGCAGAAGCAGATAAAATCTACATAGTGAGTTCTAGGTCAACCAGGGCTACATAAAGGTAGGTAAGCAAAAGCCCAGCTGATTAAATAGTTCAATTGCATCCCTTAGAATGTGGGACCAGGGGTATAGCTCAACAGTTGGCTTAGTTAGGGTTTCTATTGCTGTGTTGAAATATGAGCAAAAGAAACTTGAAAGGGGGGCTGGAGAGATGGCTCAGAGGTTAAGAGCACTGGTTACTCTTCCAAAGGTCCTGAGTTCAATTCCCAGCAACCACATGGTGGCTCACAGCCATCTGTAATTGGGTCTGGTGCCCTCTTCTGGTGTTGAAGCAGACATGTAAACAGAGCATTGTAAACACAATAAATAAATCTTTAAAAAAAAAAAAAGAAACTTGAAAGGAGTTTATTCCAATTTACAACTCTCAGTTCACTATCACTATGAGAAGTCAGGGACAGCAACTCAAACAGTGCAGGAGCTAATGTAGAGGCCATGGAAGGGTGCTGCTTAATGACTTGCTTCTCATGGCTTGTTTGTTAAACCTTTTTATCACACCCAAGACCGTCAGCCCAGGTTTGCACTACCCACAATGAGCTCAGCTTCCCCCAATCAGCCATCAATCAAGAAAATGCACCAAATGCTTGCCCACAGGCCAGTCTGGTGGGGCGTTTTCTCAACTAGGTTCCCTCTTCTAGAATGAATCTAGCTTGTATTAAGTTGACATAAAAACTAGCCAGCACAGCTGTAGAAGGTTTGCCCAGTGTGCAGGGGAGGGCAGTGAAGGTGGGGTAGGTGGATCCAGGGAAAGAAAGGAGAACACTAGAATTTGAAGGACATCATGTCGATATCAGAAGACATTTGTCACCACTGCATATCACAGAATTTCTTTGTTCTTAATCAGCTTCTAGCATAGTGTCTTATATATGGAGGGGCCTACTTATTGTGGGGTAAATGGAATGGAAATCCAAAAAATTTAACTTTCCTAAAGTCATGGGGTTTGCTGGAATGACCCCAGCTCTCAGAAGCAGAGGCAGGCAGATCTATGTAAGTTCGAGGCCAACCTGGCCTACAAAGCTACATTTCTTTTTTATTGAGGTGGGTTCTCACGTACCTTTCCTTATCTCCTTACAGGACTCCACCATGGAAAAGACAATAGATGAGCCCCCCATATCAGCTGTCTTGCTGGAACATTGCAGCTTCTCTCAGGTGGTGTTTAACAGTGTGGAGAAGTTCTATGTTCCTGGAGGAGATGTCACATGCTATTACACCTTCACCCAACAGTTTGTCCCTCGTCGCAAGGACTGGATTGGCATCTTTAAAGTGAGTGCTAACATCAAGGGGTTAGGAACTAGCGGTGAGTCTTAGTTACCCAGTCAAAAATTCTAAACTATAATTTCTGATGTTCCCTCATCACACACCAGTATGTATGATCCTCAGTTTTAAATGTCAGCCTTATGCACACCTTTAATCCTAGTACTCTGGAAGCAGAGGCAGGAAGATCATTTCATTTGAGGCCAGCCTGGTCTACATAGAGTTCAGGCCAGCCAGGGATACATAGTAAAAGCCCATCTCAAACAAAAAACAAGTTTATTTTCAGTTCCAAAGTAAAAGATAAAAATCCTACAATCCCCAAGTTTTATGTGTCCAGAGAACAAACCTAAATGCTTTAAAAATTATTCTGAGGACTACAGAGATGGCTTAACAGTTAAGTTTAGTCAATGCTCTTCCAAAGGACTGGGTTTTCCCAGTATCCACATAGCAGTCCACAACTATCTGTAAATCCAGTTCCAGAAAAATCTGATGCCCTTTTCTGACCTCAAACATCAGGTACACATGTCATACATGGACATATATGTGCATGCAAAATACAAACATAAAAATAACAAATTAATAAACAAATTAAAAATATAAATACATTATCCTATTTTGAAATATGCACGTGTGATTTGATTAAGTTGGATAATTTTTGTGGCTTTGTTAGTTTGGAGTGGTTGAGACAGGTTCTCATGTTCCAGGCTAGCCTCAAACTCTTTTGAGTAGCCAACTATGGCCTTGAACACTTGATCTTCCTGCTTCTGTCTCACAGTGTTGGTTATAGGTGGGCTTAAGTCGTACCTGGTTAATTTGTTTTGATATGAATGTCACAAATTCTAGAAAGGATGTTGAGAAGTGGCCTGGTTTGACATCCTGCATTTCAAAAGTCTTTTCCTGATTAAGTGTGGACACTCCCTCTGTGCCATCTTGTAGCATCTAATCACCCTGTTCAAGTATAGAAACTGTTTTGAGATAGGGTTGCTCTGTTTAGGAGGCTGTGCTAGAACTCACTCTGTAGATCAGGCTGGCCTTGAACTCATAGAGACCTACCTGCCGCTGTCTCCCAAGTGCTGGGATTAAAGGAGTGTGCCACCAATGCCGGCACAGAAACTGTTTTGAAACTCTATTCAACTTCTTCTCTATCTCATTCTTGTTCTCCTTCTCATCTCTGCCTTGCACCTCTCTTCCCCCTTCCTTCCCTCTGTCCTTTCCCTTCCCTTCCTCATGTTCCCCTTCTTTCTCCCTTCCCTTCCTCCCAGCATGTACTCTCCATCATAATATCCAAGCTTCCTATTTACAGAGACAAGAGATAATGGTCAGATTTAATTTCCATTGCTGGCTCTTTTATTTGACACTTAAGTATGCCATGTGCATACTTACCAGTGCTGTTCATCCTGAAACTAGACACCATCCTTTAATTGCTCACATCCTCTTAGTTATTTGGAAGACCCAGCTTATTGTTGAGGCTTTGGTGTCCAGAAGTATGGGCAGTAGATGGATGGCCTTCGGGGCACTGGCAACCCCTGGGATATTGAATCAGAGCTGGTACCCAAGTGCTTTCATCTTGGAGAGGAGGCCATAGCTTCCTTATGTGTAGCAAAGTCATAGATCAGTACTAAGTTTAGCTTATTTTTATTTTACTACTACTGTGTTGGTGGTGTGTGTATATGATGAGCGTGTATGTAGGTCAGAGGACAACGCTGCCTTCTACCTTTATATGGGTTCCAAGAATGAAACTCAGGTCATCTAGCTTTCCCAGCTTGGTTTTTATTGCTGAGCCATCTCCCCAATTCAAGTTTAACTTCAAACAAAAACTTAATTTGAGAAATGGCTCAGTGGTTATAGAAGCATTTGCTGCTTTTTCAGAGGATCCAAGTTTGGTTACCAGAACCCATATAATGGCTAACAGCTATCTATAACTCCAGTTCCAGGGGATCTGATGCCCTTTTCTAGCCTCTGGGTGCTGGGCATGCACACAGTGTACATACATCATATAGGCAAAATACTCTACACACACACAAATAAAAACAAAATTAGGTTGGTTATTTTAATTAAGTACATGTGTGTGAGGGGGTATGTGCATGTCTGAGGACAGGTATCTGTTGGGTATAGAAGAGGGTGTTGGAGCCCTTAAGTCTAAACTTAATCAGATTTAAAATCATTTGAGTTTTTTTTGTTGTTGTTTTTCAAGACAGGTTTTGTTCGTGTAGCTTTGGAGCCTGTCCTGGTCTGTAGACCAGGCTGGCCTGAGCTCACAGAGATCTGCCTGCCTGTACCTCCCAAGTGCTGGGAGTGAAAGTGTGCACCTGCAATATGTGTTTTTTGTTGCAACATGATTTTTTTCAGTTTATTTCCTAAGCAATTAGCAACTGTCAATGAGGATGTTATAAACAAATAAAAATCTTAAGCTTTATAAACTCAAGTTGTGGTGACACATACCCATAATCCGAGCACATGGGAGGCAGAGGCAGGTGGATCTCTTGAGTCTAGCTTGGTCTACAGAGCTAGTTCCAGGTCAGGCTCCAAAGCAGTACAGAGAAACCCTGTTTTGAAAAAACAAAATAAAATGAGAAAATTTTGAGGCCAGTCTGAGCTATATAGAAAGGTCAAAACCAGCCTGGCTATATTTATTTGGGTTGCTCCACTTATTCTAAAGGTATTTCTATATTTCCATAAAGAAACTGGTTAATCTAAAGGAGGGCTCTGATGTCTCCACAAGACCACTGACTTCAGCAGCCACTCTGAAGATGTGCTATGGGCTAGAAGTCTGCTTCAGGAAGGTGCTCTAATTCAGACCTTACTGCACAGCTGCCCCCTGCGGACACTTGGATAAGCAGAATGGATACTATATGATAGTGACTCTCCTAAGGTCTCAAAGTGTTGGAGCAAGTTTGTTTGGATTCCTTTGATGGTTAATTAAAAGATCCAGTCATTGACTGTTAAATATTATTCCTGATACCTCACTTCTAAAGCTTTCCTTCAGCACAGCCCTAGTAGTCTTAGGTACTAAGTATGTATGCAGGGGGAAAAATATTTTTTGAGTCAAGGTCTGTGTGGTTTAGACTAGCTCACTTCAGACTCACTGTGTAACTGAGGATGTTCTGGAACCTCTGATCTTCCTGCTTTAGCCTTGTAAGTGCTGAGGTTAGAAGAACGCGCTCCTGGGCTAAGCTTCAAGTGTATAGTAGTGCTACATTTCCTGTTGTAGATGTAGTGACAGCTATCCTCAAGAACAGAACCAAAGGCCTGCCTCCTTCCTTCCCTGTATCATCTACCCTATGCTTTGTGTTCTCCTTGACCAGGAATTTTAAGTGTTTCCAAACTTTCAGAGAGGAATTAGCTAGCATTCACAAGCAGACTGAGTGGGTGAGTGGAGTAGACACTGCAAGGCAGCTATAATTCCTAGGTGTCTGCAGCAATGTTTGCCACAGGATATTGAAAAACTCCAGGATATGGATGAGCCCTCCCCCCCCCCCCCCGCCATCGTGCTCTGATTTCTTGTATATAAAAGTGGGAGGTCTTTCTCTTCCTACTGGACTTAGGCAGGGTCAAAATATAGCAATAAGGTGTAATTTGGCTTCACATTGTTGGATTTCCCCTCCTGAAGACACAGGAGGCAGGAAGACAGCAAGTTAGAGGTCAGCCTAAGCTATATAGTGAGCCTCTATCTGAAAAAGGACTTAATAAGCCCGGCATGGTAGAGCATGTCTGGAATTTCAGCAGTTGGGAAGAGAGGCAAGAGAGGACTGAGAGTTCAGGGTCATCATTGGCTGCATAGTAAGTTCAAGGCCAGCTTGAGCTACTTAGACCGTATCATTCATAAATAAACAAATGGACAAATGAATAAATAAATAGTGAGACCCTGTATCAAACAAAACAAACAAGATGAAGAGAATGATTGGGAAGACAGCTGATGTGGACCTCTGGATTCCCTATGCAAGCATACACATGTGTACATACATGTATGCTTAAGTACACATACATACACAAGGTTTTGCTATATAGCTTTGGCTGGCTTCACACTCATAGTCCTTCAGGTTCCCAATGTAGCTATAATTATGGGCAGACATCATTATGGCTTGCTCCTCAAAACATTTTTACCCATACTATGCTCTGTGTCATTTTGGATAGTACAGTTTGTTTTGTTGTTTGATTTATTTTTGGCCTAGAGCTCACTATGTAGTCCAGGCTGGCCTCAAACTCACAGCAGGCCTCTTGCTTTAGGTTCTCAAATATCAGGACTATAGGCATGAGCTACCTTACCTGGCTGGTGACTTGGTGATAAAATTTGGAGCTCATGTAATGGGTGTTTTGAGCTGTGTTTGTATACCTCTATTTTTGTTGCTAATTCATAACTGTAATTTTGCTACTGTTATGAGTCATAATGTAAATATTCTAGAGAGACGTTTGCCAAAAGCATCGACTCTCCAGTTGAAAACCACTGTATTAGATATTTTCCCATATAATACCCACAAGTCAAAAAACATGGTTCTTGTCATAATGAATTCATTCTATCTTCATTATATATAAATAAAATTGCATTTTAAGAAATAGTAGCCCAAATAAGACTTCTTTTAAGTTCCATCAATGCTGAATAACTCTTGTCCTTGCAGGTGGGTTGGAAGACAACCCGGGAGTATTACACTTTCATGTGGGTTACCTTGCCCAGTGACCTAAAAAAGGAATCAATCAAGCAGCAGGAAGTCAAATTCAAAGGTAGGAAAATACTAAGTCAAAGGTGCTGAGAACTGGCCAAGGCTAATTAACTCTCCACCCCCATCCTATTTATACCTGAGGGGGAGTGTAGATATAGAAAAGCTAGGTAAAGATGTTAAGAGAAAGACAGAGACACAGAATAGAGTTGAGTCCGGAGGGCAAATCCAGTGAATTCTGAATGTGCCAAGTTTATTCTTCACCATTCTTACATAAAAAAAGGGGAACATGGTATCATGTATATGGAACAAACAGACTTTCTTCCTTAATTCTCCAAGCATTTGGTAACCACACCTTAGACTTAATTTCTCGTTATCTGGTCTTGAGTAACCACACCTCACACCAAGTCTGTTGTCCCAAAGGCCTGTAGCCAAGCCTTAGACCTTTAGTTTTGAACTTTCTGACCTTGAGCCAAGATGAAACAGAACAGAGCCATCTTTATGGGCCCTGGCAAATTCCCTTGTTTTCTGGGACAGGTTTTGTTTTTGTTTTACATGGGTAGCTCTTTGTATTAAAGACCACATTCCATTTTCAGCATACTACCTGCCCAAAGATGATGAGCATTACCAGTTCTGCTATGTGGATCAAGATGGTATTATCCGGGGAGCAAGTATCCCTTTCCAGTTCCGTCCAGAAACTGAGGAGGACATAGTGGTTGTTACCACTAAGGTCTGTAATCATCTCCCCTCAAACCTTTCTGTAGCATAGGAGTTCCAGGTTAGGGTGGAGTTTGAGTCAATAAGCTTTATGGAATGGCTATAGATACTATTGGGGAAAATCATGATACCAATAATACCACTCTGACCCACTCAGGGATGACTTGGGAATACTTAAAAAACTGTGGCCAGGCTGGCACAGAATCCAAGGCAGTCCTCCTGCCTCAGCATTTGGAATTCTAAGATTACAGGAATGTGCTACTGTGCCCAGTGTCCCTCATAACTTCTTATGGCCTTAAATTTGCTTCTGTTTCTCTCTGGCAAAGGCAAACTTAATTCTGTGATGAGCAGGCATATGCCAGTGTCGCTCCAGTGAGTGGGATTCGCTCAGCTGCCCCACCCCAGCTTGTGGGAAGTTCCTGCTGGAAGGACTTGAACACAGCTGCTGTGGTGTTCTCTTGCAGGGAAAGGTGGAAGAGATCGAGCAACACAATGAGGAGCTTCTCCTAGAAAACCAGGAACTGAAAGACAGTTGTGCCAGCCTCCAGAAGCAGAACTCAGATGTACAAGCCGAGCTCCAGAGGAAACAGGTACAGATGCTGGCCAAAGGTGAACTTGGAACACGTAGATGAGAATCAGTGAATTATAGGCCAGCCTGGTCTATATAGTGAAATCTGTCTCAAATCAAATATGTATGCATTTTTGCCTGCTTGTGTGTTTGTGAAGAGGCTAGAGGGAATCTGACCACCTAGAACTAGAGTTACAGTCTTTTGTGAGCCTCCATTGTGGATGCTAGGAACTGAAATCAGATTCTCTGTGAGCAGCAGGTGCTATTTTCTCTAGTCTTCGGACATTGTTTTGATTAGGAAAGAACAGGCTGGTACTATAGCTTAGTAGTAGAGTGGTTGCCTGGCATGTGTGAGCCCTGGGTTTGATTATTTAGCCATGCAATAACAACAAATGTATATATGAAAAGAATAACTCAAAATGTCTTTTGAGACACTAGGTCTCTGGGCCATCCAACCTCTGGGTCCTGGCACTTTAGACAGTAACAGGGTTAGGCTCAGTCTTATGACATGGGTCATTGGTTGGTCATTCCCACAATCTCTGCTACCTTTACCCCAGCACATCCCATAGACAGGACAGATTTTTAGGTCGAAAGTTATGGTTTGTTTGGTTGTCCTGTTGAGAGATACTGGATTACACTGTGTGAAGATGTGTCCACTGTGATTGGTTTGATAAATACTAAATGGTCAATAGCTAGGTAAGAGGCATAGGCAGGCAGAACAGTGAGTTCTGGGAAGAAGAGTGGAGTCACCAGGCAGACAGAAGGCAGCAAGACATGCTATAGGTGAGATCAAAGCTATGGGTCACATGGCAACATGGAGGTGAATAGAAATGGGTTAATTTATGTTATAAGAGCTAGTTAGAAACAAGCTTAAGCTATAGACTGTGCTTTCATAATTAATAAGTTTGTCATTATTTGGGAACTGACAGGCAGGACAAAGAAAGACTCTCTAAGGCACCCCACATTGGGCGTCATGGAGTCAAACTTTCCTTTGGGCCTCCAGCTCACAAAAAAATGACACGGAGACTTATTGATTTTAGCATCTGTGCTACTGGTCTATTCAGGAAGTTGTCTTCTGTGCCAGTGCATTCAAGGCTGTTCTCCACTTTCCTATCAGGGACACTGTAACTGAAATTAAAATGAGATCTTTATCCACTCGGACTTGAGTTTTGTGCGGTGATAGCATCTGATGGCAGATGTTATTCTGTAAATATGTTTCTCGTATTGGTTAATGAATAAAGCATTGTTGGCCAATAGGAAAGCAAGATAGGTGGGACTAGGAGAAGAGAGGAAGAAGTAGGGAGGAGATTCAACGTGGAGTATAGAGAGCAGAACACCTGCCCCTCTCTCCGATAAGATCACATGGAAATACTTAGATTAATAGAAATGGGTTAATATTTAAGACAGAGATAGCCAATAAGAAATGCTAGTAACAGACTAACAGCAGTATATCTAATACAGCATCTCTGTGTTATTTGGGGTTGGCGTGCCTCTGGGACCAGGCTGGCAGAAAACCTGCTTGTAACAAAATGGCGCCTTCAACGTAGCCAATAAGAACTTCTACTTAAAACTTAACAAAAGCTTACTCTTAACATGCATCTATTTGCATTCTACATTCTAATACCTAGTCATGCCAGCATCATTTGTTGAAGATGTTTTCTTCAATTTGTCAAAAAGCAGGTGTCCGTAAGTATGGTTATGTCTGGGTCTTTGATTCAATTCCATTGATTCATCTATCTCTTTTTATGCAAATACCATGCTGTTTTTTAATTACTATGTCTTAGGGTTTCTGTTGCTGTGAAGAGACACCATGACCACAGCAACTCTTACAAAGGAAAATTGGTTTGGCTTACATATCCAGAGATTTTGTTCATTATTATCATGGTGTGACATGGTGGTGTACAGGCAGACATGCTAGAGAAGTATTTGAGAGTCCTATATCCTTGATCCACAAGCAGCAAGAAGTGAACTGAACTAGACCTCACTTGAACATAGACTCAAAGCCCACCCCTATGACAATTCCTCCAACAATGCCACATCTTCAAAATGCCACTCCCTATGATTTTATGGAGGCCAATTACATTCAAACTACCACACTATAGCTTTGTAGTAGAGCTTGAAATCAGGGATAGTGGTACCTCTCTCTGGAAATTCTTTTATTGTACAGGATCGTTTAAGCTATCCTGTTTTGGGAATTTTTGTTGGTTTGTTTTTCCATATGAAGTTGAGTATTGTTCTTTTAAGGTCTGTAAAGACTCATGTTCAGATTTTAATGAGGATTTCATTAAATCTGTAGGTTGCTTTTGGTAAGATGGACATTTTTTACTATGTTAATTCTACTGATCCATGAGCATGGGAGATCTTTCCAGGGATCTTACATGGCACCGACCTAGGTCCTTTATGTGACAGTTGTGTAGCTGGTCTTACTTGCAGGCCTCCTAACAGTGGGAACGGGCTGTCCCTAATGCTTTCTGGCTTTTGGGAACCTATTCCTCATACTGGGTTGCCTTGCTCAGTAATACAAGGGGAGGTATTTAGTCCTACCACAACTTGATATGCCATGTTTTGTTTTATCTATGGAAGGCCTAACCCTTTCTGAACAGAAACAGATGGAGTGGATTGGGGTGGGGAGGTAGAAGGAGGAAATGAGAGGAGGGAAGGGAAACTATGATTGGGAATGTAAAATAATAAATTTAGTCTGAAATCCCCTTAGATATGACATTCTCTGCTCTATAGTGCTCTGCCTAACTAATACAGTATTTTAAAGTAGTTAGTTAAAAGTGCTAATGGATAGAGTATTACTCTCCTGTTGCTGTGATAGAGTACCGTGACTAAGGGCAGCATAAGGGAGAGGGGTTGTTTTGGCCACCATGCTGGGGAGGCGTGGCAGCAAACTGCAGGGATGGTGGCAGAAGCAGGAAGCTAAGAGGGCGCACATCTTTTACAACAAGCATGTATCTCAGTGAGAACTGGAAGTGGGGAGGGCTAGAAGCTCTTGCCCTCAGTGATGTACTTCCTCCTGCAAGGCTGCACCTTCTCATAACTTTTCCAAACAGTGCCTCCAGCTAGGGGCCAAGTGTTCAAATGCCTGAGACGGACATTGATTGTGAAACCACCACAGTGCTTACGTCTAAAACTTGTCTTAAAAATGATGTGCTTTCTTAATTATGTTTCACTCTACAGGAGGCACTAGAGGAGCTGCAGAACATCAATAAGAAGTTAAAACAGGAAATGGAAGAGCAGAAGGCCTGTTGGGAGACTGAGCAGCTCCAGTGAGTATGCCTGCCCTTGTTAGTTAACACTGCCTATTGAAGTAGGGTGTGACCCTACAATCCCAGCCATTGGATCAGAAAGTTAAGGCCATCCTTAGCTACACAGTGAGTTTGAGGTTAGCCCAGGCCACATGATACTGTACCTCAAAAAGAAAAACAACTTCCTGTTATGGGTGTGTATATGGGTAGATGATGTTTTAGGTCAAGCCAGTCTTAAGTCACTTATTATGTGCTGGGGTAAACAGTCATTTCTATTTCCCATAGGCTGAAAGAATACAACCAGAAGATATCCTCTGAAAACGAGAAGATGGGGATCAGAGTAGACCAGCTTCAGGTAAATGACACTGTGCTTTTGCTGAAGGGCATTTTGTCGACTTTTACCACTGTTGGTGATCTGGTAGTTCAGAAAGATGTGGTTCATAGTGAGTGCCTGGAACAAAGCACAGCTGTGATGTTTAATGCTATGGAAGAATATCAATGGAAAAAACTTGACAAAGGAAGGATATATCTAGCTCAGTGTAAAAGGTTCCTGTCCACCATGGTGGGGAGGGTATGACAGCAAGCAGCCCATACCACAGTATCCAGGAAGCAGAGAATGCTTGGGCTAGCTTTCTTGTTCCCCCTGTATTCTGCCCAAGCCCCTCAGGGCAGGCCTTTCCCCTTTATTATCCTTCTTAGAAGTTGCATAGAAGCCAAGTATGGTATTCAACTATAATCCCAGCACTGGGAAGACAGGCAGGTGGATAGATCTCTGTGGGTCCGAGTCTAGTCTGGTCTACATAGCAAGTTCCACGACAGCCAGGGCTACACAGAGAAACTCTTGTCTTGGGGGTGGGGGAGGGTGCCACAGATGCAAAGTGTGCTGTGCTCATGTCCTAGGCACTTCTCAATCAAATTGACCATCAAGACTAAATATTACAATTTGCAAAACATCAGACTTAAAGTTACCCGTTATGTATTTTTCAGTCTTAGATCATGTGGGCCCATATATGCATATTTATTAGATATAGTAGTGGTATACAAAGAAATTAATAATTTTGGGTGCTAATCTTAAGGATTATAATAATTTGTAACAATTTTTTTCATTCGTTATAAAATTTATCTAAGCACCTGGACTGTGGTGGCACATAACTTTAGTCCCAGCACTCAGGAGGCAGAGGCAGGTGGATTTCTCTGAGTTGGAAGCCAGCCTGGTCTACAGAGCGAGTTCCAGGACAGGCTCCAAAGCCACAGAGAAACCCTGTCTCAAAAAACAAAAATTACACAAGCAAAATGTGCTCTATATTTAGGAAGAAACACAAACTTTCGTTTAAAAAAAAAAGACTATTGGTTGATGTTTGCTCCTTTGAGTCAGATTCTTAGGCTGTAGGGCAGAGCCAGACCGTAGACTAGCTCTGAGGCTTTCTTGCAGTGGGAGTTGCTAGGAAACGTCTTCCTCTCTTCCTCCCTGTATATTAGAATGTAATGTTGTTCCTGGACAGTTTTCCTATGTCTCACTGTGAAATTCACTATTTTTGCTTCAGGCCCAGCTGTCAACTCAAGAGAAAGAGATGGAGGAGCTTGTTCTAAGAGACCAAGACAAGACAGAGCAGCTGCAACGTCTCAAAGATGAAAATAGCCAGCTCATCCTCAGTTTAACTGAGCAGGTAGACTCCTGCAGGGGACACTCCCAAGAAAATACACTTTGTGCTGTCTTTACTAATGGCTCTGGGAAGGTCTCAAAAGACACCTACTACTCTCTGAGATGCTATCTCACTTGTACCCTGGCTGGCCTGGGACTCAGTTTCTCTGCCTCTCCCTCTTTGGTTCTGGATTAAAGGTGTGCACTACACCCAGCTCAAAGAAGCCATCTTATATGAATGAGAGTATATCATGGTCTTATTCAACAACTAAAAGACTTGCCTCTTCCTCCACGTCCTGCTTGCTCATGAGTTCAGGTGTGTGTGTGCACCTGTTCCCCACCTTAGTACTAAAGTCTGTTTCTTTGCAGAGGGAGCAACAGATGAAGCTTGAGCAGACAGTGGAAAAGATGAAGGAGAAAGAAACTGTGGCAAGGAAGAAGCAACAAGAGCTAAAGGCATGTTAACTCTTTTTGCATGGCTGTGTGGGCTGTGCCTGAGAACAACATGGGGCCATTTTCAGGGGATGGACAGAACAGGGTAGCATTCACCTAAGGTGCTTTACCCAAAAGGACAGAGAATCTGCCATTTAAAAGATGTTTCAGAGGGGTGAGGTAAACATCACAACACTTAGGATTAGGAACTCCAGAGTTGTTATGTATGACAAACGAGTTAATAACTATAAAGAGCCATACAAGAGGAAATTATAACACTTCACGGCCAATTTTGTTATTATTAATGTAGCAATTATTAATAGTAAATCATTCTGGGTAGTTAGTTATACAGCAATGAAAGTCTAACTAGTAATTTCCTGAAGTAACTTTGTTGGAAAGGAAGAGGCCTAATGATGCTGACAGGTACTCGAAATGTGTTTTGGAATATAGTGAGCATCAGCCAGGCGGCAGCACTCAGGAGGCAGAGGGTGGATCCTGATGTCTGAAAGTGACTATAGATTGTCTCGTAGCTGCCATATGTGGTCAGCTTTTAAGCACTGACTAGATGTGTATTGTATATTTGTCAGCTCTCTCACACAGTCTCAGCCAAGTGGAGATAGAGGTAAGAGGACTGGGAATTCATGGTCCTCTCTACCTAATAAGTTTGAAGCCAGTCTATAGTACATGAGAATCAGTCTCCAAAACCACAGATATGGAAGGCGAAGAGTAGGACAAGGTTTGCAAACTGACAGCTCACAGGTTAAGTCCAGCCCATAGATGGGGCTTGGAGAAATTGAATTCCTCACCAACCTTTACAGTTGAGACTGTTTGCTACAAATACACATTTCTCCCTTCTGGAAAATGGCAGTGGTACCACTCTGAGCCCACATTACTGTAGTGTTACAATCAGGGTGGCTGAGGGGCTCCTCCGGGTCACACATGTTCTCTGATGACAGGTCAGTTCACTGGTTACTCGTGTGGGATGGGGACTAAGCCAGGGCTTGCATATGCTAAGCATGTGCTCAATCTCCCACAGAGCCACCACTCCAGCTTCACTCCAGTGAAGTCGCATTCACTTTCATCCACTTCTTCCCTAGCCCTTGAACTCCACCTAAGTGCTGGGATTAAAGGCATGGGCACTGGGCATCAGATTCAGGACCCCACACATGCTATGCAAGCCTCTACCTCTGAACTACATCTCTTTGCCTATAACAAATCTTTATTTCTTAATGCAAAAGCCCTCTAATCGTCAAGACTGTGTATCTTGTACTTCAGGAGCCTAAGAACAAGGAAACAACGGAGGAGGAGTTGTTAGTGCGAGAGGTGGAACGCTTAAAGGCAAAGGTAGAGGCCGGGAGAGCCTGTTACTTAGAGAAGTACAAAGAGTGCCAGCGACTCCACAAACAGATCAGGCAACTCAGGGCTTCTGCAATGGTAGGTGAAGGGGCCCAGGAGAGTAAGGGACATGACAGTTTAGGATTTTTAGATCAAGTGCAGAAGATTTATACCATTACTAAGAAGAACTTTGTCTTCCCCAAAAGAGAGGGGTGGAGTTATGAGGCCAGAAGACAACCTGGGCATGGGGAAAGTTCCGGGGAATTCAGGCCCATTCATGTATCTCAGGGAAAGTTTCAGTAATAATTCAGGAGGTCCGGTGCAGACTCAGAGAGCCCTTTCTTATTTCTGCCTTTTGAGGAAGTGAAGCAGGAGCAGAAGAGCCAACAGGAGCCAGTGGGGATGGGGAGCAAGAAGCCTGACATCAGCACTGTCATCGGGTAGTCCCCTCTCCATTACCTCAGGGTCGGCTAGAAGCGCACAGCAGTTTGGGCACCAGCATTCAAATAAAATCATGCAACAAAAACCACAACTAGTAGGATTAGCTGAAGTATGTTTGTGAGATGTATGCATGTGTATGTGTGTAAGCAAAAAATGGGAAATACTGAAGCATGAGAGTAGCTGAGTCAACCGTCATTCTGGGGAGTTAGGAGCCCAGGCTGTGTGCCTTGTGGGGCCTGGGAGAAAGTCCTCTCAACCCAGACCCAAGTGCCTCAGGCCCCATGGAGTAAGGTGTCCATTCAAAACTGACAAGATTTGATTATAGGGTTCTAGTTATCTTTACTATTAGAATAGGTCAGTCTTAAGGTCTACCCTTTCCTTTCTGTGTAGTCTCTTACCCTGTCTGATATACTGAAAACACCTTGATCACCATCCCTGCACAAGCTTTCCAGTATTTAGCTAAGTCCCCAGCACTCTCCAACCTCCCAGAGTTCCCTTCTTCCCTTTGGAAGCCAGCTCCTCTGAAATCTGCTCTGGGGCAACATTTCAGTACAAGATCCTAATTCTAATGTCTTTGTTGTTGACAGGACGAGAACTTTGGCCTGTCAAGAACCCTAAGTGACAACAAGATTTTAACTGAAGTTCTGAAGAAAGAGAAAGAGAAACTGGAAAGAGAAAACAGTGTGAGTGGGAAAGAAGGAAGAAAACCCCCAGATTTCAGAGCAAAGGGCTGAGGGTAGTAGCTTGTATTTGTGGTCCCAGCTGCTGGGAGGGTAAGGCACTGTTAGCTCAAGTATGAAGCCATCCTGGGCTACAGTGTGAGTTCTAGGCCAGCCAAGGTTATATTGTGAGACTCTGTCTCAAAATATTCAAACAAACCTTGTGGTGGTGGCGCACACACTTAATCCCAACACTTGGAGAGGCAGGCCAATCTCTGAGTTTGAGGCCAGCCTGATCTACAAATCATGTTCCAGGACAGCCAGAGCTATTGCATAGAGAAACACTCATAAAAACAAACAACCAAAAATGAGAGAGAGAGAGCACACACAAGAGAGATTAGCTAAGATGTTTTAATAGTGAAGTAGAAGGTGAATAGAATGACCTTCCCAGTGAAGCAGTTACTCATAAGCAAAGAGTAATTTAATCTTGTTTTCTAATTTACCTCAAAATCCTGTAATTTGTTTGTTGCTTGTTATTTGCTTGTTTTTGAGACAGGATCTGTCTCAAAATTTGGCCTCAAAATTGTCATTAGCTAAGAATGATCTGCACTTCCTGCACCCATGGCTTCCATCTGCCTTGGTGCTGAGATTACTGTCATCCACTACTATGCCTAGTTTATGTGGTGCTGGGATCATACCCAGGGAGCTTTGAAGCAGGCACTCTCCCAGCTTAATTTAGCAGAAACCCTGCTTTTTAAAGTCTTTATTGGTGTTGTGAAAGAGGGCTTCCATATGCAATCCAGCCTGACCTTGAACTGGAAGCAATCCTCCTGCCTCTGCCTCACAAGTACTGGGATTACTAGCATATAACACCAAGTCCAGTACATAACCCTCTCTCTGTCCTACTTAATTAAATTCACTTGGCTTGACAAGAGTTATCTTGCAAGAAGCAGCTGTAGTAGGTGTGGCCACAGTAAAGAAGATGACAACAGTATCTCCTGCCCAGCATCCAAGAACAATGGTCCAAGCTACTGTTCTTGCTACTCCTAGATTGACACTTACTTCCCTGCTCCATCTCTGCCCTTTCTGGAAACCTTCTGGGCTATGTCAAAAGTTTTTGTTTCTATTTAAATCATGGTAAAGGTATAACAATGACAACAGGTGTAACAACAATGACGTAACAAAATACACTGCCTTAAGTTTTTTTGAGACAAGGTCTTAACGTGCATAGCTTAGAAGTGCTGGCCATGCACACTTTAGAATCCCATCTCCATAAGCGTTCCATCTAGCACACTGAAACTACACACACCAAGCAATAAACCCCTTGAGAATTTCTGATCTAAGTTTTATTATTTGCTTGGAGATTGTGTATGGAGATTGCAGAAAGCCTTGGTCTGTTTCTGGTCCTCTAGTCCCATGCTCTTGTATTAGATAGAGGTATTAGATAGAGGTAGCAATACACAGCACCAAGAAAGTGCTGTTTGGAGGTTTTGTTCATTCAGAACTATAGTAAACAGTGAGGCATAATGGAAGCAGGAGAAGCAGGGTTTTGCTTTGAATTATGTGTCCTGTGTGCGTGTGCGCACGCGCTCATGAGAGTAGGCACCCTCAGGGGCAAGAGCCATCAGATCCTCCTAGAGCTGGAGTTACAATGTGGTTGCTGAGAATCAAAGGGCAGTACAAGCTGTTAACAATTAAGCCAGCTCTACAGCCATAAGAACCAGGAACTAAGCCAGGCATGGCAGCACACACCTTTAATTCTAGTACTCACGAGGCAGGTAGATCCCCTGAGTTCAGGGCCAGCCTCATATATTGAGTGAGTTCCAGGACAGCCATAGTTATGTAGAAAAAGTCTTAAAAAACAACAAAACCAATAATAGGAAAATAAGAAATGCAAAAATAGGGGCTGGATTGATGACTCATTGGTTAAAATTCCCAGCAACCATATGATAGCTCACAAACATTCGTAATGAGACCTGGTCCTTCTGGCCTGCGGACAGAACACTGTACACATAATAAACAAATCTTAAAAAAGAAAAATGCAAAAACCAAGAACTAGGGGCTAAAGGTAGTTTCAGCTCCATACATACAAGGGCCAGCCTGAGCTACATATCAAACAACAACAAAACAGTAATAGGCATGTTAACAACTCCATGGAGTTGCCCTCTGACCTCCACGCTCATGACTACACTATGTATGGCACTTGTGTGTCTTTCATTCAACATGTCTGTAAATCTTCTGTGCTCAGATCCTGAAGAAAGAGAACAACAGACTGATGGACTACATGGGCCTCCAAAATGATGACTCTGTGCCACATGAAATGCAATCTTCAGATCAAGGAGCTGGTAGGCAAAGCCCAGGTCTTGTGTATGGAAACCCATATTCTGGTAAGACAATTTACCCATTCTGTCTGGAAAGCCTTCCCCCCATCCCACCCCTGTGTGTGTGAGTGTGTGTGTGTGTGTGTGTGTGTGTTGCTAATTAAGGCTAGCATTGTTAAGATTTGCTGGGCAGAAGCTGAGGACCCACTAGAAAGAAAGATTGCAGGAAAGAAATGTTAATTGAGAAATAAATCTGAATCCAGAAGACACAAATCAGATCATTTGCCTAGAGGCAGCAGACACAAATTGGGTCTCATGGCTACCTTCCAAATATAAATCAGAGAAATGTCTTTTTGTAGAAAATACACACATACAAAGGAGAGAAAGCTAATTAAGTTTTGGAAATGGAAATGCTAGAGGCATGTTATGCCTCCCAGAAACCCATAGTTCCAGCAGCCCCCTGATGGCCCAGTTGAGGGTAACAGGAGCCAATTGTTTTCTTTCTCAGGGATGTGAAGTATCCTGTCCCTTTCAAATGGCAAATAGAAGGCTGCCCCTGTTAACTGCAAACCTAATGCAAGTCCTCATTTGTTTTTTTTTTTGTATGGTTTAAAACAGTAACATTTTCTTGAAAGTCACAACCAGTCCTTTGCAAGAGGCAAGAACAAGTTTAAATTTTGTTTTAAAATACTTTAACACTTTTATGTTCTTTGTCTCTCTTCTGGCATGGAACCCTTATCAGAAAGGAACAAGTGGAAAGCTAAGGCTAAGGAGTTGGCTTAGTGGGTAAGGTGCTTGTTGCATAAGTTTGAGGACCTGGAGTTCAGGTCCCCAACACCCACATAAAAAAGTGCCACAATGGCATATGCCTCTAACTCAAGCTCTGGTGAAAAATAATAGACCAAAGCACCCTAGAGGTTGCTGGCCTCTAGCTAGTCAGTGAGCCCAGGTTCAATGAGAAACTTTGTCTCAAAGAATGAGATAGAACAGCTGAGGTTGTAGCCCACAGCACTTGCCTCCAAGACTTAGATCTCTAGCACCTTGGAAACCTGGCATAGTTCCATGGGCCAATAATCCTAGGTTTTGTAAAGTGGAGGTAGAAAGATTAGATATTCAGGGTCATCCCAGGTTACATAGTGAGATCAAGGCCAGCCTGGGCTTTGGGAGACTCCATTTCAAAATACTAACAACATTGAGCTGAATTTGTTTGCTCATGCCTGTAATCCCAACACTTTGTAAACTGCGGTTGGAGGGTTAGTGGGAGTTTGATGCCAGCCTGAGCCACAGAATGAGATCCTATCTCCAAAAAAAAAAAAAAAAAAAAAAAAAAAAAAAAAAAGATAGGAAGATTTTCCCTGACTTTCTAGCTGAGCAGTGGGGGTCCCATGGAATCAGCTGGGCTGATGAGACAAATGATATAGAGGGAGATCCTTCCATGTGTTATAACAGTAATAATGACGATATAATAAGACATTTCCAGGTGATTTCCACTTCCCTGAGCTTCATAGGACCACAGTGACCACTGACCCATCCTCCCACTCTTTTAGAGGGCCTGCCTAGCAATCCCCCAAAGGTTGGGGGCTGGGGTGAGGGCTGAGTGAATAAAGTGCTCTTGTGAATGTTGATCCTCAGAACACACATAAGATGCTGTAGCATACCTTTGTAATCCCAGTGCTCCTCAGTGAGATGGGAGGCAGGACATGGAAATCCATAGGACCGTGGCCCAGCTAGCCTGGGCAAACAATTAGGACCCTGCCTCAGACAAAGCTAGGATCTATACCTACACATACACACTCTAAATGTCAGTGGATTTTAGCCTGGCGGTGGTGGCATACGCCTTTGATCCCAGCACTTGGGGAGGCAGGTAGATCTCTATGAGTTCAAGACCACTGGTCTATAAGAGCTCCAGGACGGGCTCCAAAGCCACAGAGAAACCCTGTCTTGGAGAGAGAAAAAAAAAAAAAAAAAAACCACATAACCGTATTCTAATAAAAATAGAGGCCCGAAAGCCCAGGCACATCCTGCTGCAGACATTTTTGGTGGTGAGTGCCCTCCAAAGATAACAGCAGACAGGCATAGTGGAGTGCACCTTTAACCCAGCACTTGGGAGTCAGACAGTGCATAGTGAAGGTTATAGAACACAGCTGTTTTTTTTTTTTTGTTTTGTTTTGTTTTTTTTGTTTTGTTTTTTTTTTTTTTTTTTCCATTGAATTAAATCTTTTTATTCCCCGCAGGTATCCAAGAAAGTTCTCCTCCTCCTACCCTGGTAAGTATTTGGTTCATGAGATTGATTTTTATATATAAAATCCTGAGAAATCTCCATTTCTATTCTAAACCCTGGGAGAACCAGAGAGAGACTGGAACGGGTCAGCTGGCACAACGTATCCAGGTCCCAGGGCTGGGTTAGCCTGTTGAGGTGAGGAGAAGAAATTGGGTTTGGTTTCTATCAGCATTGCTCAGAGTCTCCTCCTGCAAGCAAGTTAAGTTGGCAGTGACTAGGGAAGACATGTGGCCTGGGCAGCTAACCAAGCAAGGCCTGCCCAGTGCTCCTTCCAGCCCAGAGCTGTGTTGACCAATTTGGCAGTATTAAGCCCTTTCTGTGCTAATTATGCCTAGACACTGAGTACGGTGGAAAGAAAAGTAAGGGACATGTTTGTGATGCAAAACTCAAGTTGCTCCTGTCCTCTGTTTTTCCAGCTTGCAGCCGTCCTTGCTGATAATATCTCTAAGCAGACCTTACAGAATAAGCAAATGCTGACCAGTTGTTTCAATTGTCCAGTTTGTGGCAAAACCTTTCCAGAGAAAGAGAAGCAGATCTTTAAAGACCATGTGTTCTGCCACTCTTTCTGAGTGTCCCAGCCCATGGGTCTTTGCTGCATAGATCACAGTTTCTGCTATGAGCTATCTGAGCAGAGAAGCCTGTGTAAGCAGAAGTCATGCCTGCAAAGGTGGGATGGGCCCGTTGTCTGTAGGATGGTGTTGACAGCGGCTGTGTCTACCCTGTTCACGTCATAACTGCAGCGTCAGCCTTTCTCCTGCAATGCCCATTCATCCTGCTGACTCACAGCAGCTGATTAAGTCATTGTCTTCCCAGTTGTCATTGGGCTTTCATGCATTTGTGCCAGTCCTAGTCCTAACCCAGAGGGTAGGAACAGGACTGGAAGTGGAGAAGATCTTCATTTTCCTTAGTCCTTTCTTCAACCAGTTGCCTCAAATTATCTCAAAATGACACAGCAGAGAGCTCAGATTCCAAATCAGATTTATCAGCTTCCAAAAGCAAATGATTTTTATTTTTGAAAACAAGGCCTGACTATAGCCCTGGCTGTCATGGAACTCTGTAGAAGAGATCCTGCCTGCCCATGGTACCAGAGCGTTGGCATCTAATGCGTGCACGCCTGCTGAGAAGTATCCTGTGCTTCACTTACAAAAAGCCTCATCTCTAGCAGGATGTGATGATGTGGATCTGTATTCCAGCAATTAAGAGGTTGAGGCAGGAGGATTATGAGTTCAAAGCCACTTGGATGACAAAAGCTTTCAGGAAAAATGGGAAGGGGCAGGGAAAGGCTTCTTCTTTCTATCTAAATACTTCTGATTGGAATTTTCTGATCCTTTCCATATACACAACATGTATTATGTCGTATGTATAGAGTTTTTTTTTTTTTTCTTACTCTGGCTAAATTGAGCCACTGCTCAGTTAGTTTTTTACTGACAATTAAGAATAATTAGGAGGTATATTGTCTTGCAACTTTCTCAATAGTTAATTGTTGGTGTCAATGTAAGAATAATGACTTGTTAATCTCTTAATATTCAAAATAAATTACTCTTTTTAAGGACATGGGTTTTGTTTTTGTTTTTTTCAAGAAAGGGTTTCTCTGTGTAGCTTTGGAAGCTGTCCTGGAATTTGCTCTGTAGACCAAGCTGGCCTCAAATGCTCTTGTTTTTTAAAGTCTGCTATTTGTGTGGGTGTGGGACGTCTACCAGAGCACGGTAGCCTCAAGGGTTACTTCCCTGGAGAAGACTAATTATCCCACTGTAGCAACCATTCTTCTGACATTGGGTGACTTTATTGTTACCTACAGAGTTCACACTTTAGACAAATGAATAAAAATGAAAAATTAGGGCTGATTTTTATGTTAGGCTGTCTTCAGCCTTGTGTGGTCCAGGGACCACAGATTAGACAAGCCAGCTAGACAGCTACCCCTCATCTCTGCTTCTTGCTTTGATTTCTCCATGATAAAATGAAAATGAAACATTACAGTTCCTCCTGTGCCATCTTCACCAAGAGAACTTTCACACTCATGAGCCCTTTGTCCCCCAGAGCACCAGATGCAACGTGGCATGGAAATATGGCAAACAGAAATGACATTTTTCCCCCCCAACATGCTGCCCTCATCGCTGTAGAAATGTCGTGGCTCCCTAGACAGTCTAGGAAGAACTGCAGTTTATTTTGTACTAGTCAGCTCTTAATGAAGCACTTAAACAGAGAGAAGCAGTGGTGCGCATAATCCAAAATGAGTGGATGCCATTTTCTGGTGGATTACCCACCTCTGCCCCTGTTGCCCTGAGGGTTCCCAAGATTAGCAACAGCAGCAGCAAGCGCCCTTCCACTGCTGCAGGAAAAACAGTTGAGGTGTTAATGAGCCTTTTTGCTGAGTTTAAAACAAAGCATCTTTAACCACTGTTCATTATCTCCAGCTGCTCTTACCACGGTTGAGAAGGGGAAATCATGCCCCAGGCAGCTCTGGGTGGTAAAAGAGACAATCATTCTTAATACTCCACTGCCCACTTGCCTTCCCCATCCCCTGTGCACCCATGTATTTCATATTGTGAGATACCTGCAAAATTATAGGGAGTTTGTGAGCAAATGGCAGTTTTATCTCAAGTGGGTTTGAGTCTTTGTAGTTACTTATGGCAACAGGTTTTCTTTGTTCACTGTATTACTGAAATCTGCATTAGCTCCATTACTTAATGACTTGGGAAAAGTTATAAGACAATCGGCCTTAGTTTGAAGGTGTTGCACACCTTTTGATCTCAGCACAGCAGAGGCTGAGCTACAGCATAAGACTTTATCCCCCCAAAAAAAAACAAGGGCTAGGACTGTAACTGAGTGTGTGTATAGCATGTAAACGATCTTTTGACCCCCAGCACCACCAAAAGAAGTAGAATCACAAAATAAGTACAGTTGGCAAACACAGGCAGGGTAGTGCAGGCCCTTAACAATAGCTACAGCTTTAGTGCTTTCTTTATCTTAGTAAAAATTGAAATAAAAATGTTCAAATTCTGTTTGTCCAGTGATTTGGTTTATGGCGAAGGAGTTTGCACCGAGGTAAGCATATGGTAACCTTGTCTCCTACCAACAAGTACAGATGAGATGGCTTGCCAGGGCTAAAAGATACAACCTGTTACCTAGGAGAATAAAATAAGTGGACTTTGGTAGGGATGAAATGCAGAGACTATCACCTGGTTACGTCCTTGTCTGGGTTATAGTTTGGCATACCTTGGATAGTCCTTAGTCCAGACAGCTATTAATTCATTCTTATGTATGAATAAGTTGAAATATCAAGAAATAACTCACTAAAAGTGTTAACTCACATGTCTGTTGACGGATGAAGAGGTAAAACAATTGTTTAAGGAGGAAGGACTCACTGTTGGGCAGTGGTAGCACAGGCCTGTAATCCCAGTACTTGGGAGGCAAAGGCAGATGGATTTCTGAGATCCAGGACAGCCAGGGCTTCAAAGAAACCCTGTCTTGAAAAACAAAGAAAAAAAAAAAAAAAATGGATTCAGATGTCGAAACACAGATGAGTCTTGAAAGCATGTTACATGAAAGATGCCAGTCACATGAGACACTTATTGTCAAGTGCCATTTATCAAAAAGTCTGAAATAAGTATATCTCTAGAACTCAGACTAAAAGAAATCTGGAGCTGGGTGTTGGTGGCACACACCTTTAGTCCCAGCACTCGGGAGGCAGAGGCAGAGACAGGCAGATCTCTCTCAATTCAAGGCCAGACTGGTCTACAGAGCTAGTTCCAGGACAGGCTCCAAAGCCACACAGAAACCCTGTCTCAAGAGAAAGATCTTCTGGTTCTAGGGAAATGGGTGGTGAGTGATGTGAGATGTCCACCCCACCCGCACCTGTTGCACCATGAATCTTAATCTGTGCATCATTAGACTGATAGTGGGTGTGGAGTTTGTTTAGGATTGAGCAGAAAATGTTAAGCATATAGCACACTCCTATAATAGCAGCACTCAGGGACAGGATTGCCAGTTTTGAGGCCAGTTTGAACTACACGGTAAGCACCAGGCCAGCCAGGCCACATAGCAAGACCTTGTTTCAGAAACCAAAGAAATGGGGGAGGAGGAGAGAGGAGCCATTGATTGTGGAGGTGATTACACAATTCTAAATCGACTAGAAGAAACACTAGACTCCACTTGGAAGATTTAATGTACATGTATGAATGCTTTGCGTGGCGTGTCTGAACACCATGTACATGCCTGGCCCCTAGGAGGTCAGAAGAGAGTGTAGGATCCCTGAAACGGGTTGTAGAGTTATAAGCCACCATGTGAAGCTGAGAACCAAACCTTTGTAGTTTTTCCAGATTTTCATTATATAGCCCTGCCTGTCCTGGCACTGTGACTTGGACTGTGAGCTTGCCTCAGCCTTCTGAGTGCTGTTTACAGACTTGTGGCCCACCTAGAAAAGGAACATTTTGATGTTTCCTGTGCTACTGGGGTTTGAACCCAGGGCCTCGTGAATTCTGGGCAAAAGCATTACCTCTGCTGTCAAATAGCACCAGTAGGTTAAGGATCTTAGGAAAAGTGTCTGTTGGATTATCTTAAGTGGCTCTTAAATCCAAGAATGAATGTCCTGAGGAAGAGAGCACACACCAGACAGAAGCCAGCATTTTGAGTCTGGAGTGACAGAGTGAAGGATGCTGTCATAGTCACTGTTCTATTCTGTAATGAGACACCATGACCAAGGCAAGCATTTAATTAGGGGCTTGCTTACAGTTTCAGAGGATTAGTCTGTGTTCATCATGACAGAGCATGGTGGCAGGAAGGGAGAAGATGGAGGGGGAGGGGCTTCCAGCCTGAATGTGAAACTGGGAGGAGCCTTTCCCGTGGGGTGACCCTGGTAGAAGAAGAGGAAGAGGAGGAGAAGCTGCTATACCAGTTTGATCAGTGCAAACACCAGGTACATTTCACTGGGTCAATATTTTCACATCCGGTCTCTGGGTCTGGTAGTGTGCATCTGTTCCTGGAACGTCTTCTGACTCTGAACTACTACATGCAAGCTGCCAGGGCTTTCTCTGCCCTGGTACATCCCTTCGTCCTAGCCTCCTTTTTAAAACTCCTAGCATCTTCCCATGTCAATAATCGCTCTAAAATTTCAATTGGCTGCATCCTCCACTTAGAAGTCCCTTCCAAGGCTCCTGAGCACACAGGGACCTGGAGAACAAGTTGACTTCTGCTTAATCCAGTCATCTAGTCTACAACCATCCTCCCCCTGCCCTCCCACTCTCCACGTAGCTCAGGATGGCCTTGAACTCCTAATCCTTCTGTTTCTACCTGCCAAATCCCAGGAGTACAAAACTGTACCACCATGCTTGGCTTGAGCTTTCTAATTACATGTCAGTTCTCTGGGACCTACCAGTAGACTCAAATACATTCTAAACCAACATCCTATTTGCTACTTGTACTGACTCCTTCCTTCTATCAGCCTGTGGAGCTCTGAAGACTCATGTTGGTGAACACCATCTCAGGAGGAAAGAAGCTAAACTTGGCAGAGCATATCTGTGGCAGACATAACACAGACTCCTATTTTTTTATTTTATTATGTGTATATGCATGTGAGGCCAGAAGAGGGCATTGGAAAACCTAGGGCCAGATGGACAGATGTTCGTGAGCCACCACCAACATGGGTGCTGGGAATCCAACTCCAGCACTCTGCCAGAGCAGTTCGTTCATTAACCACCGAACAATCTCAACAGCCCTAGAAAATCTTTATAAGGTAATAAAATATATAGCAGGTAAGCAGAGAGTCTTCCCAAGATTGATACTTTGATCCTTACAATCAGCTAAATGGGAATCTGTGTGTGTGTGTGTGTGTGTGTGTGTGTGTGTGTGTGTGTGTGTGTGTGTGTTAAGGGTTTTGCTCTGTTTCATGTCATTTCACTTTTTTCCCCCCAAGACTAGGTTTCTCTGTGTAACAGCACTGGCTGCCCTGGAACTTGCTTTGTAGACCAAGCTAGCCTTGAATTCACATAGATCCACCTGTTTCTGCCTACTGAGTGCTGGGATTAAAGGTGTGCACCACCACCACCTGGCTCTCTGGCTCTCTTCACTTTTTACAAACAGGATCTCACACTGAAGCCCAGAGTGGCTTGGAATTCACTATCTAGCCCAGGCTGTCCTGGAACTCATGGTTCTCCTCTCTCCTCAAACTCCCAAATGCTGAGATTATTGTAGGTGTGAGACACCGTGCCCAGCTATTTTTTTTTAGTGGCATAATCCTGTTTTGTCCCTCTAACAGTCTCTCAGGAAGAGCGACCATCCCGGCACTTGGTTGCTGTTCCTCAGTACAGATCTCTGTGCACTGGACTCATCATTATCATTTAAACATACTGCATGTTGAACACTTATCATACAGTGCTATAAACAGGGAGGCAGGGCTTAGGGAGAGGCCAGCTATGAGGTGTAGGGGTTCATCTAGGGAAAGGGTGTGGGAGAACAGGGGAAGGAGCCTGAGCCTAACTTCCTTTATCTTCTCTCCAATAAAGTTCATAGTCCGGGAAATGCCCTACAAGTGGCAACTGCTCTTAAACCTCCCTG